AAATTTATAATTTTTTTTGTCTTCTTGAGGCAGTGTCTCACTGTGCAGTTCAGGCTGGCCTTGAGCTCACTTTGTAGCCCAGGCTGGTCATTTTTATCCATTTCAGTGGTTAGGCAGGATAAAGATGGCTGTGAAGACAAATATTCAAAAGAATTCCAAATAATGTGAATTTTCTGAGTCTCTTCTTCCCAATAAATGGAAAAATAAGCTTCCACCTTAAATATCTCCAGTTTGCTCACACTGTTGACAGAGCGCTTACCTAATATGTGTGAAGCCCTGTGTTCTGTCCCCAGCACAGGGGAAAAAAAAGTGTTTGCTTACATTACTTAGTTCTAATCATGGCAAATTCTATATGCTATTTATATATTCATGATTTAATACTCAATAATATTTTTTAAATTTTGGGGTGTTTTTGTTTGTTTGTTTGTTTTCACTATGTAGTTCAGGCTGGCCTTAAACTTACTATGTGGCCCAGGCTGGCCTTGAACTCATAGCCATCCTCCTGCCTCAGCCTCTTGAGTACTGGGATTATAGGCATACACTATTGCACCCAGTTTTGAACTGTTTTTGAGATAGGGTTTCACTGTATAGTTTAGACTGGCCTTGAACTCACTATGTAGCCAGGCTGGCCTCAAACTCTTGGCAATTCTCCTGCCTAAGCCTCCCTAGTGATGATATTACAGGCATGTACTACCACACCCAGCTTACTTTTTTGAATCTTAAAATGGGGGTTTTTGTTTTGTTTTGTTTTGTTTTTCTTCTGGTACCGGGAATTGAACTCACAACCTTGTGCTTGCCAGGCAGGCGCTGTGCCACTGAGCTAAATCCCCAGCCCCCAAATAATGGTTTTACTAGATATATTTTGCTTGATTAACACTCACAGCCAAGTTCACTCTAACTAGAAGGATTATCAAATTTATTGATTGATTGATTGATTGTCTTTTTGAGACAGGGTCTCGCTATGCAGTTTAGACTGGCCTTAAGCTCACTCTGTAGCCCAGGCTGGTCTTGAACTCACAACGATCCTCCTGCCTCAGCCTCCCAAGTGCTGGAATTACAGGCATGCACCACGATGCCCAGCCTATCAAATTTAATTATATCATCATAGCAGTAATATTATCATCTTCCAAATGTTTATATGTATTTGGGCCAATTGGAGATAGGATATATATGTTCTCTCTTAGAGTGGCAAAGAGGGGCCAGGGGTGTAGCTCAGTTTGAGCATGTGCTTAGCAGCTCCAGGGCTCTGGGTTTCATTCCCAGCACTGAAAAAATTAAAAAGAAAAGAAAAGAAATGTTGTGGAGTCCCTAGAGAAAGATAATGTACCTTCACTGCTGGATACATGCTGGTAGCAGCTTCTCAAATTAGATCCTTTCAACTGCCAGGCTGGGTTTAGCTCTTTATCTATGTTTCTCTACATTGCTTATCACTGAGCTTTAACGGGGGTATTAAATTATGCCAGAATAGGACTGGGGACTTGTATCGCTTGTCTCTGTCTATAACAACCAAGACAGCTTGAAGTGTTGGATTAGCTACCACAAAGAAACAGAACGTAAGTGCTAGGGACTTGATCAGAAAAATAAAATCTTTCACAGTCTTTGCTTAGTGTTACTCATTAAAGGAGGCCCAAAGGGCTGAGCACTGGCCCAAACAGAAATTTTACAACCGCAATAAAGGGCTAGCCCTTACTTTACTGCCAAATCTCTCTGTCTGTCTGTCTGTCTCTGTCTCTGTCTCTGTCTCTCTCTCTCAGTTTCACAGGGTCTCACTATGTAGTTTAGGCCAGCTTTAAACTCACACAGGGTCAAAACAAAAACAAAAAACTCACACAGGGTCTCACTATGTAGTTCAGAAACTCAATATACTCATTACGTAGCCCAGGCTGGCCTCCAACTCACAGCAGTCCTCTTGCCTCAGCCTCCCAAGTGCTGGGACTACAGGCCTGCACCTTTTTTTTTTTTCTTTGCAGTGCTGGGGATGGAACCCAAGCCCTTGCACATGCGAGGCAAGCACTCTGCCAATGAGCTATATCCTCAACTCTGTTCAGCTCTTAAAATGGGAAAACGTCTACCTCTTCAGGTAGCTGGGATATGTGGCCTAAAGACAGATACCATCCCAAAATGCATTTACTAAGGTGTTTTCAAGTATATGGATCCTCTCAGGAAACATCTTCCAGTCTCCAAGTCACCTTGAACATCATATAACAGCTTGCTGAAACCTCCTGCTAACCAGGAGGTTATTGTTGATATTCCTACATTTCCATAGTCAGTTAGGTGCCTACGGAGAATCAGGTCTATGCTCATATCTACCTGTGTTTGCCACAAGATCTCTGAGAAGACTTGGGCGAAATAGATGTTGATTAACTGTATGATTGACTTGAAATGCTAGATTTAACTTTGTGTATTCAGGTCCACCCCCCCCCCCACAATAACAGTCTAAGGTTTTACTGCATTCCATTTACCATAATAGTAAAAGACATATTTTTAAAATTTACATTTTTTTTTCTTTTGGTACCAGGAATTGAACTCATGATGACCTTATAGCTGCCAGGCAAGCTCTGCACCGCTGAGCTGTATCCCCAGCAAAATTTACATTATTTTATATCTTCAAGGGCCAGGAAGTTACTACTTTTTTTTTATTATACTCTTTGCTTGTTTGTTTGAGACAGGGTCTTGCTATGTAGTTCAAGCTCCCAGTTTGTTGTGTTTTTTTGTTTTTTTTTTGTCTTTTTGAGACAAGGTCTCGATATACAGTTCAGGCTGGCCTTGAGCTCACTTTGTAGGCAGGCTGGTCTCGAACTCACAGTGAACCTCCTGCCTCAGCCTCCCGAGTGCTTCCAGTTCAGGCTGGCCTTGAGCTCACTTTGTGGGCAGGCTGGTCTTGAACTCACAGTGATCCTCCTGCCTCAGCCTCACAAGTGCTGGGATTACAGGAGTGTGCCACCACGCCCAGCCAGTCTGTCCTTGACCTTGTGGCAATCCTTCTGCCTCAGCCTCCCAAGGACTGGGGTTATAGACATGTGCCACCAGGGACTTGATCAGAAAAAATAAAATCTTTCACAGTCTTTGCTTAGTGTTACTTATTAAAGGAGGCCCAAAAGACTGAATACTGGCCCAAACAGAAATTTTACAACCCCTATAAAGGTCTAGCCCTTACTTTACTGCCAAATCTCTCTGTCTCTCTGTCTGTCTCTGTCTGTCTCTCTCTCTCTCTGTCTCTGTCTTTCTCTCTCTCAGTTTCACAGGGTCTCACTATGTAGTGTAGGCCAGGTTTAAAGTCCCATAGGTCTCACTATGTGGGGACAGTTTGTTTCATTAAAAAGACCTACATCAAAGCATATGTGATCTGATAATCCTATTGTATTTTAACTACATATAGACATACATAACTGGACTAATATAATTATCAGAGCATTTTCTTGAGGAGTAGGGTGAAAATCCAAATGAACTTTTTTTTCCATACTAAGCATCAAATCCAGGGCTTCATGCATGCTAGGCAAGTGCTCCACCCCTCAGCTACAGGTCAGCAGTGCAAATGAATTTCTTTTTCTTTTCTTTTCTTTTCTTTTTTTTTTTTTTTTTTGAGATGGGGTCTTGCTAAATTGCCCAGGTTAGGCTCAAACTTGCAGTCCTCCTGCCTCAGCCTCCCAAGTGCTGAGATGACAGGTGTGCATCCCCATTCCTGGCCTGAATGTATTTATTAATGAGATTCCTTTTGTAGGTATAGGCTTTGTGTTACAGTCTTTTTATTTTTATTGATAGAGGCTCTGAAATGAGGCCAGTTAGAAATAACCCAGGAGGAAGGGGAGATGACCTGCCAGTCTGTGTTGCTTTTGGTCACAGTTAGGCTCTCAAAGCGTTATTATTTTTTCCATAACCGCTGAGAATAACAAGAGTTGACAATGGGGAAAAGGCGGGGACGGAAATAAGTAAGAAAATGGGACAAATGGACATGAGAGCCCAGTTCCGTTTTAAAGGTCAGAGAATCCATTTAGATATTCTGATACCTTGTTGGCTTCTAATGCACTGTAGCTTTCAGTATTTATATAATATTAACTGGGCTTTTAAAAGGCCTTTCCAGTTTTCGTATCTTGTTCAGGGAAAAATAAAGGCCCTAAAGAGAGCCAACGTTATGTCAAATGAAGTCTCACTTGTCTACCTGGCATGAGAGTCCACCCTCGTTACAATCCTTCATCAACACTGGTGCTGTAACGTACAGCTGGTGCTTCGTGTAACTCACATAAATTCAATTTAAGACTAAATGGTTGGGGCTGGGGAAATAGCTCAGCCGCACAAGCACCTGCCTGCCAAGCTCAAGGTCCTGAGTTCGATCCCTGGTAAAAAAAAAAAAAAAAAGACTAAATAGTTTTCCTGGTGAGCTCAAACTTATGAGCCTCCTGAGTGCCGGGATTATAGGCATGTGCTACCTTACCTGGCCTAGCTAGGCTTTTAAAAGATGATGCAGGCTGGGCATGGTGGCATACCCCTATAATCTCACTTGGGAGGCTGAGGCAGGAGGATCACAGCAAGTCTGAGGCCAACGTGGGCTACATATCGAGTTCAAGGCCACCTTGAAGTACATAGAGAGACACTGTCTCAAAAAAAGTGGTATAATGTGCACACTTTATCTATTTGTTGTCTATCTATCTATCTATGTATCTATCATCTATCTATCTAAAATATCCCCAGGTGCTGTGGTTTTAATTCTTAAAGTATGTTATTTGGTCTTTAATGGATATTGTTCCAGACAGAGAAATTCTAATACCACCCTTGTTTTTTCCTAGCTTCTTTTTTTCACTTCAGAGCCCTTCACATAGTCACACTTTATTCCCCTGTCATCCATCACCCATCAAAAGAAGAGATGGTACAACCAGTGGGAACCTGAGACTCTGAAACAGGAAGAATTTGACTCTCGGCTTTCCCAGCCAGTGACCAAACTTGACTAGTAAGTTCTCTCCATTCCATATATGGTGTAACCTCCATCTAGACCCCAGGCATTACACGTGAGTGAATCTTAGTGTTGTTTTCTTCTCATATTTACTGGTGAAAAGAAACATGCCTATCTTTTATTTATCTACATGGGGCTGGGGATTTAGCTCAGCCGCACAGCGCATGCCTGGCAAGCACGAGGTCGTGAGTGCAATTCCTGGTACTGGAAAAAAACAAAAACAAAACAAAACAAAATTTTATCTACTTATCTACCTTGCAGTCTTAGTTACTTTTCTTTCGTTGCTGAGACAAAATATCTGACACACCCAAGGTTAAAGGAGGAAAGGTTTATTTAGCTTACAGTTTTTAGAGGTTTCCGTCCATAATTGACTGACTCCAAGGAAGGGAGACTTGGCAGAGGGGCATCGCAGGGGACCGTTCATGGTGCCCACAAGGCAGCAAAAGTAACAACGGACTTTCACAGAGTCTTTCTGCCCCTTTTATACTCTACCTAGGCTACTGGGTTTAGGGTGGTACTATGCCAATCAGTGGTCTGATTAGTAATCACATACTTTAATAGCAGCATCACACACTAGACGCAGCCACCTCTGAAAAAGTTCTACCCATGACAGCATGAGACTTTGGGGGGACATCTGGACACAAACCATAGCACTAGCTATTTATTTATTTATTTGTGGTGCTGGGGCTTGCACCTAAGGCCTTACGTACGCATGCTAAGGACATGTTCTACTGTTGAGCTCCACCCCATCCCCAAGCTGGCCTGTGTTAAAGCATACTTTGCAGGGCAAACAGCAAATCTGAAGGTGCTCTGTTCATTCTTCGTGATTAATACATAGAGTGGGATAAGGGCAGAAATCCTGAGAGAGGCAACTGAACTTGCAGGTGATTGTCAAAAGCTCAATGTTCCTTATGTTGAATCTGGGGTTTTAAAAATACAAAGCTGTACGTGCACACGAATCATCCAAATCAGGTATGTCCAACCCTCAGCTCTGGGCAACTAGTAATGCAGCTCCACAAGATCACCAGCTTTTAATACTGGGTGATTTTGACTGGATTGCATGGTGCTCTAGCACTAGGCAGGTGAAGCTGTGTAGTGGAGGGTGCAGGGCTCACTCCACCTGCTGGCCTGCCACAGGGTCAGTGCGATAGCAATTCCTGCGCATCAGATGTGATGTGTGCTTGTACTAATATTGGCAGATAAAACACAGTGATTACTGACAATAATGTTTCAACCTACCTACATGTGTGTGCCTGTGAAGACAGTGACTCAACTGTTTGTTTGTTTATTTATTTTTTTGTCTTTTTGAGACAGAGTCTCACTCTGCAGTTTAGGCTGGCCTTGAACTTGCAACAGTCCTCCTGCCTCAGCCTCCTGAGTGCTGGGATTACAGATGTATCCCGCCACACCTGGCCTCAACTGTTTATTGTTAGTAAGCAGACACATAAGCTTTCTTTTTCTTTTTTTGAGACAGGGTCTTGCTATGTAGCGCAGGCTGGCCTTGAACTCTTGGTGATCCTCCTAGCTCAGCCTCCTGAGTGCTGGGATTATAAGCATGGGACACCAGGCCTGGCTAAATTTTCTTATGTAATTATTAAACTTGGGCTGGTGTTATTTTGTAAGTTAAAATATAAAAAAGGAAGTTTTGTTACACATATATTCTATCTATCTATCTATCTATCTATCTATCTATCTATCTATCTATGTATCTATCTATCTACCTACCTATCTATCCATCTATCTTGATTTTTTTGAGTCAGTCTTGCTATGTAGCCCACTGAGGCTGCCCTTAAACTTGCAATCCTCCTGCCTCAGCCACCCAAGTGCTTGGATTACAGGCATGCAATAACACCACACCTGGGCATTAACTATAATGATATATTTTATATATAAGGGCAAAGAAATTCTTCTTCACTAAATGTGCCCCAAATAGCACCACAAAGAAGAAGAAAGAGAGGAGGAGAAAGAGGAGGGAGAGGTGAAGAAGAAGGGGAAGTGGAAGGGCAAGGAGAAGCAGAGGGAGAAGAAGAGGAAGAAGAAGAAGAAAAAGGAAGGAGGAGGAGGAAGAGCTAGAAGATATTTTTAGTAGTACAGCTATGATATTGGGGGGGTTCTGAGATACATGCCATGAAAATCTGTCTGTCTAAGCAATATTTTAATCACTTCGGCAAACTAAGAAACACCACTTGATTTTCAGATGACACAGCCTTGGAGGGCCTGGTGGTTAATACCATGAGTTTCAAACCAAGGTGTTAAAATCTCTCTCCAGGCTGGAATGATGGGATAAAAGGACTCAAATAAAATATTAGAGAGAGACCAATAAAAGCTCTAAAATTTGCATTGAAGTACTCATCTGCACAAATTTTATTTCCTTAGGCCACAGTTTTCTTGCCATCATTTGCCCGAATTAACAAGCTAGGTAAGTAAATGAATAAATTTGGGTTAAAAGAAATTGTAGACATTATCAAATATTAAGGTAAGACCATCTATGACACTATTATACTGTACTCTATAAACACTGCTTAATTTGGAGTCTAACTCCCCAAATGGCCTAAATGGATGGAGAATATTGTGCCTACATTCTTTTAGGGCACAATGCAGTTTTCATTGGAGTCCCAAAGGTGTGTTTGAGCACCCCCCCAAACACCAAGAAAAAGAAAAAAAAAAAAGCTGAAGAACCACTGGCCTATAGCACTGCATTCAGTGACCATTTTTTTTCAAATATATCTTTTTTATTTATTATGGAAAGAACTTTTTTATTCTGTCTTTTTGAGCCAGGATCTTGTGATGCAGTTCAGGGTGGCCTTGAGTTCACTTTGTAGCCCAGGCTGGCCTTGAACTCACAAAGATCCTTCTGCCTCAGCCTCCCAAGAGCTGGGATTACAGGCGTGTGCCACCACACCCGGCCAGTGACCAGTTTTTATGAAGATATTGACAAAACATCAAAACACATACCAGCTATTCCCAGGATTACAAAAGTCTTGGAAATCCTATCCTATGGAAGCTACTGAGAGCCAGGCATGATGGCACACACCTGTAATCCCAGCACTCGGCAGGCTGAGGCAGGAGGATAACAGCAAATTTGAGGCTAACCTGGGGCAAATAGTGAGTTCAAGGCCAGCCTGTGCTACAAAGCAAGACCCTGTTTCAATAAACAAAAAACAAGCAAATAAAAGAGAAAAACAATTGAGAAATTTGGGAAATAATGTGGAGAAGAAAATTTGTGTTGGGCACATGGTAACACTCTTCAGTATTTGAAGGACTTGGGTGTGGAAACTGGGTGAGAAGGGTAGAAGCTACAAGAGGACAGGTTTCAGTTTAATGTAAGCAAGAGCTTTCAAATGATTAAAGCTGCCCTGAATTGGAATCCACTGTCCTGTGGGCCGGTGAATTCCTTGTTGCAGGAAGTGTTCAGGCACAAGCTGGTAACTGAGCAGAGGTCAGTGATACGAAGGGAAATTTCCAGACTGGAAGTTGGCTGGAATGAATGAGGTCTATCCCCACATCCCCAAGTAAGGATAAAAAGTCTTTTCATGTCTATCATGCCTTTTGGTTATTTGGTTATGTTTAGTGGAGCATATAAAATACTACCATCCTGCGAAAAGAAAGAATAACAAACAGAAGCATAAAACAGGGTCCCTGGAGAAATTTGAAGAACGTTTACAGATAACCCAGTCCTATTTCCAGCACCCACCCCTCTTTTTAAAACGAGACAAGAAAACTTTAAAAAGTAAACCTAAGGAAACAAAATTATGCACCTGGAAGCCTGACAGTCTCCAACTTGCCAGGCTACGAGAAGAATGTGTTACTCTTTAAACAGGCAAATGTTTGTTGATTAAAGAAGATTCTTTTTTTTTTTTTGGTTTTCTTCCGGTACCAGGAATTGAACTCACGACCTTGCACTTGCCAGGCAGGCGCTTTGCCACTGAGCTAAATCCCCAGCCCCGATTAAAGAAGATTCTATAGCGAGGCCTGTAAAAGCTACTTGGGAGGCTGAGGCAGGAAGATTACAAGTTCAAGGCCAGCCTGACAACTTAGTGAGACCCTGTCTCACAATAAAATTAAAAGGTTTGGAGCTGTAGCTTAGTAGTAGAGCACGTGCCTGGCATGTGCGAAGCCTAGAGTCAAGCCCCAGCATCTGGCTTCCTCCCACCAAACAAACAAACAAACAAATAAACACAAGACCTCCACAGAGGGGAGTGTCCATAGTGGAAAGTGTTTGAAAAATCTTGAGACTGCACCAAAGTCCCTTTCCACTCTCCAGGATCAGGTAAACTGTTAGTAGATCACTCAGATGCCTGTTTCTCTTCTGACTCTTTGCGTCTCTTAGGCTGTTTATTTATTTGATAAAGGGAGATAAAAAGAGAAAAAAGCCTAGGGGGAAAATACTTAAGGAGAGGGAGTGTGCTGGGACAAAAACATTACTGGTTCAAATTAGGATTTGAGGTTGTTATATCACTTTTCCACACTATCCCCTTTGCCGGTTATCAGTTAACCCACAACAATACAACATTTATTGAGAATCTACTGTGTGCAAGGCATCGCGATTATCCAGGTGGTCATCTAGGAGATTATAAAAGCTATGCGCTCTGCTTTGGCTCATATCTAGATGGACTCCAAAGCCTCGTGATCATAGGCGGTGCTGGATTTGAAAGTC